CTGATATATTAATGATCAGTTTGGGATTTGATTGGAATGGTAAATGTATGTTTGCACATCACTTATATGATGGTGGTAGTTCTAGATTTATTGGTTTCAAGGAGGTGAAACAGATTTTTTTCTTCTTTTTTTTTTTTTTTTTTTTTTTTTTTTTAGAAGTGCTCGTTTGTACTGAAGTAAAAGAGAAAAAGTTCATTTAGCATCAGAGGTTGGAGGATGTGAAGCCAATATTCGTCAGGTTCTTAATTTTGAAAGCACGAATCAGGTTAAAACTGGTGATTGGTTACAAGACTGTGAAAAGATGTACACAGGCTTATAACTACTAATTACTGAAGGTTTGATATCCAATGCCTAGAATTGAGACTATGGTCCAGTTTAAGATTTGAAACACGGTAAGTTGAGGTAGACTAGAGTGTAATAGCCTATATGTTTGCTATTTGACCTGCTGTTCTGTGGTTATTGCCCTGTTCCTTTACTATATTTTGTGTCCTTGTCTTTTTGTTGTATGTTTTTTCTCATGCCGTCTCATATTTTAGATAGTGCTGGGTATTATTATTTTTATTAGTAAAAAAAGAAAGAAAGAAAATAACAATGATTCCTCTTCATGGATTTGCATGTACCTCTATAACTGATTAACCCAACAATATATTAGTAGGATGCGGTTTATAACGTGGAAGTGGGTTATCACTTGATTTGAAAAGATTTCAAATTTGTGCTCTCTGAACATTTTGTTGAGATTTTATTAATGCTTGATTTTTGTGTACCTTTATTTATTGATTATTTTTTTTTCCACTTTTAATCAGTTTCTTTTTCATTTATTTTCTTTTTTAGCAACAAAGTCTATGATAAACAAATAATATTATTAATGTTAGGCATTTATTCAATGCATTTTTCCTTAATTTTTTAACTACTTTACACCAAGACTACCTTGGTATATAGAAGTACCGGTATATAGATGTACCTGAAGCTGTGAATTAGTCGTATTTTTAATGTAGTGTAGGGACTTTCTGTTGGTCATTATCAACTTTCATTGCTCTCTGTGAATATTTATAGATGGTTTTAATTAGTGGAAGCAAAAATAATGTGGTAGTGGGAATACATTTTGGTTTGACATCCAACAGGTTGAAAACTTAGGGGTAAAAATCAGTGTGTATTTAAGTTAACATATTAATCCTATCAGGACGGGGCCAGAATTTCCTGTGATGGTGTCATTACGCAACAGTCTAGCCTCTCTGGCAGAATGTATGAGGAAAACTCATTTGACTTAACTTTGGTAAACACACACACAGACAGACAGACACACACAGGCAACAAACACACACACACACACACGCACGCACACACTCAAACGCACACACACAAGCACGCACACACACAAATGCACACACGCACGCACACACAAATGCACAACACACGCGCGCGCACACACACACACGCACGCGCACACACACACACACACACACACACACACAGCAACACACACACACACACACACACACACACACACACATACACACATACACACACACACACACACACACACACACACACACACACACACACACATATATACACACACACACACATTGATTCTTTGATTAGCCATTGGTTTACTCTTGATCATTAAGGATAGAAGTGTCTCAGTTTTAAACTTAGCCCCAGAACTTTACTAGTTTGTGCAAAGTGAATTTAATAAAGGGCAGCAATGGGTCAACTCACCAGGAAGATGATTCATTCGTAAGATATAGAAGACCGGGATGAAAAGATGCCAGGCACTGCTGCTCGCCAGTGAATTTAATTTAACTTGGCAGATTATTTATATTTATGCGTTTACACGTGTGTACACATACATGAAAGTATATATATTTATTATTTAATTTATGTTGTATAGCCCTATTTCATTATCAAACCTTACTTTTGATACGTAAAAAGGTAATGATTTTATATCAGGTAAGATTTGAAGTGTAGTGAAAACTGATGTACAGTCTATTTGATAAAGTGAATTGAAATGTATGGTTATGGTAACAGTATAGAAAGTTCACACAACTAATGTTTTAATAAATTAGTTGCACTATTCATTCATGTTTAGTTGATCGTAAAGTTTTATTCTCTCTCTCTCTCTCTCTCTCTCTCTCT